ATCCACGGTGAATTCTGAATAACCATCAACACGGGGGTACAACGATACTTATCAGACGACGGCTTGATAAGTCGGCGGACGCACAATGGGCGAAGGTGGAGGAACGCGCGTGTACCTTTGTTTTTTTCCTCGAGCTGGCTGGTTGGCTGATGAGATCGCAGCGAGATACATCACAACGCGTCACGACGCATCGTTGAGCACGTTACGCTGATACAACAATTTCCTCGACAACTCTTTCCTTCCGAAATTCCCCGGTTCCGTCGTTTACCACCCAATCTCCGATTCTATTGTACTCCGATCGATTACATCTTGTCTTTTTACCGTTGGCTTTGCTCACCGTTGACAGCTCTTTTTCCTGTGTACAGGGTGTCCAAAAAGTTTGGGATAAAACTTGTACTGTGTGTTAATGAGGTTGAGTAGATGAGAAAAGTTTGGGTGAACTTGTGTCTAAAAATGCTTCTGTTTTTGCACGAGTTCGCGATGCAACGCGATCTATTTTACTAAAGACGGCGCGTTAATGAAGGTCGTAACTCTTCACTCCGATGTTTCGACACCGCGTATCGTACAGTGTTTTTTCCTTACGAACGTTTCCGGAGGTAAGGGATGATACTTTAGATGTGTCTTTTGATTTTACTTGTCCTCGTGAAGTGTCTTTTGAACTCTTTATTTTGTGGTGGTGCGTGGGTATATATTGGGTCGGTGTATGTTCTGATTGGTTGGACGTTGAAGGTGGTGGAAAAGAAGGTCTCGAAAAATGCGTATGTTCTGATTGGATATTAGGAAACTAGTGGAAGGAGAACGTGAGGGTGAAGGTGGTGGGCAAAAGTTTAAATAATATGGGAAAAACCCGGAAAGGGGAAAGGGATGGGAAACATGACCAGGATGCGACGTGAACTGCTTTATGGTAGGGAAGGAATTTGTTAGGGGCTAGGAAGACGGCTGGAAAGGACTGTTTATTAGTTTCTGATGTGTTACTGGCCGGTGGGCTGCGCGACCGGACAAGGACAATCGGACAGCTTCATTGAAAAGTTAGACGGTGGATTTTCATGCGTTTACTGGAAACTTAACCCTTTCGCTGCGGCAGATTGTCGGTAAAATCTTTCGTTTTGGCGTTTGAAAATTTTTCAATTTCTGTTATTCAGTTAAAGCGAGAGTACTCGAAGGATTGAATTTTGAGCAGAATTTAAGGATTGGATTAAGGCGAAAGTGTAGCGAATGTCACCAACAGCACGGTAAGAGAAAATTTTCAAAGCGCCGGTAGAGCAGTGAAAGGGTTAAAGGTACAAAATTGTACAGAATGTGTGCACTGTACGAAATATCTAAACTGTAGTGCTTTTTATAATACCTGGTAGGTGAAATAATTTTCCACCCAAGTTCTACTTTTTCTTTTACTCTATTCTTAGAAATATAAATTTGCTAGTTACAAGCGTTCAAAGATTGTTATGGCCGTTCTGATAAACGCTCGAAATTTCTTTCTTCTGAAAGAATGCTCCCTTCCTTTCGTCGAACTCTTTCGAATACTCCTACTGTATTATAAATTGTAGTAAATTCCCTTTGAACACCCTGTGCAGACGAGTTGAATGTCGCATCAACAGCATAAGGATCTTATCTATAACTGTCGCGGATTGATTGTAACTTGAAATCAGATACCGTTACTTTCAGAAATTCCAAGGTACAATGTGTATTATAAATTGTCCAGCTTGTAATGGTGTTACAGATCGAATAAAAATACTCCTACTTGTTACGAACATGTTAATAAATGTCGTCGAATTAAAACCGCGTATGCAAATCAGATGTAAAATATTTGATTATCGTTACAACCGATCAAGACTTTTTAACGTTAGCATATACCTGCCAGCGTATATTTCTATTCGAAAGGGAAACGGCAATATTAATTAATTCAATTACTTCCGGACTGGCGTTGATCAAACAAGCATTGCTGCGTTCAAACGATCGTGTTTTCAATTTAATTGCAACGCAGGAATAGAAAAACACCTACGATCGACGAGTTTATCGATAAACGACCGATTAGACTATATTCAAGCGTTAGTTTATTCATTCAGAAATCACTTGCAGCTATTCTTTTTTTTTTTTTGTTTTTTTAAATTAAAGGAATAATCAGAAAGAGTTATGACGTAGGTACTTTTTCCTTGTTTTTGAGTGAGAAATATAGTGTAGAAATATCAGTCCAATTTGTGAATTCGTATTTAAAGTTTCGAGAAAAACTCGTTCAAAATTTTCCCCGATATACATACATGCGTGACACGCTACGTTCCAACGATTTATAGCTCTGTTAATTCTTCCAATTCCGATCTAACACTTCGGGAACATTCTCAAGGTATCAAAATTATCGATTTATGCAAAAAAAAAAAATCGATTTTTTCCATGCGTCGTTTGGGATTCCCCTCTTAACCTCTTCAGGGACACCGACACATATGTGTACCTCTAGATTTTCCGAAAATTCCAATATTTGCCATAGAGAAAATATGAAAAACAATCTCCCAAAATGTCCTAAGGAAAGTAGTTCAATTGCTATCGATTTAGCATGAGTATAAATGTAACTACATAAAAAATTCTAACTTAAAAAAAAATCATCCCTGAAGAGGTTAATGGTATGTTTGAAAATCGATTTTTTCGATCCGCCATTTGGGATTCCCCCCTTAACACGTTCCGTGCCGCGTATACGCCCCACGCTGAACTTCCCGTTCACGCCGTTTGATATTTCTGCCTTTCCCTTCCGTTGACTTAAACGATGCAACTACGACGATAATTTGTTGAAACAAAAATGTTTTCTTCGCTCTATAGTGCATCTTAAACGTCACCTTTTCCTCGATAACCGTGATTTCTGCAATCTTGTAAATATTAGAAGACATATAGGGTGAAAAGTAAAACTGTTAGTCTCGACAGCGCGAGACGTGTGCGCTCCACGCGGCCTGAACGAAAACTAACCAAAAATCGGTCCGGCACGGAACGTGTTAATGGTATGTTTGACATTAAACGGCACATCAATAAACACGAGGAACTTATTACTCGATCTAACACCAGTCGTACAAGCAACTTTTGAATCATGAAAACTCACGTTCTATTATAGTTTGACCACCTTATAAATTCTGTCGGTGAAAATCCAACGAGTAATCAGACTGATATAACAGCTCAACACATTGAATACCGTGGAGGTCACCAGTGACCAGCGACACTAAGATTAGTATAAGCATTTAATTTAAATAAATGGTAATATTTGCAAAATTTTTATCTAATGCATCATACAGCGTATTTAAATAGTCTTATTTATAACTGTTTACACAATGTTTATGCATATCCCGACGTGCTCTATTAAAACGAAAAACTGAATTGCTCCGGCGTTCAACGTATTAAAATCTCTGAAATTCGTTTCTTTGGTATGAAACAATTCTCGTTACTTTTCGTTGCTTAACCCAGCTTTAACGGTTATTGTCATTCTAACCGCATTCGAAACGAAGGAAATACTACTGCGACGATTACGTCACAACCGTCACGTCCTTCGTACCGTGGACAATGTTTTTAATTCAACGAGTGAAGTGTGTTCCATTCAATGGCTATCTCGGTTCGTTGCCATCTTTTATCGCTCGACTTTCTTTCACGGATATACGTGAGAGAAAAAGGAATCGTTGAGGAACCAACTGCGAAGAAGAAATGTCACCGTGCTCCAAATTGCCAAAGCGGAGTGGAAAGAAAGCCGGAGAGTATTTCGAAAAGAATGAAGAAAGGGTCTTACGGGACTGTGTTTAAAATTGAAAAGAATTTCGTTTCTAGAAGAAGTGTACGTCTGAATGGAATAATGCTAATTTTGTTTACTCATGTTTTCTTCGATTGCCCTAACTCTGTCGAACTATTTATTAGATTGTACGGAAAATTCGGGTCGGTTTTAAGGAAATTAGTAAATTCTGCCAAAAAACATCGTTTTTTCTTTATATTCTTAATTTTGAAATTTCTAAATTTAGTAAAGTATTTGCGATCAAATTTTTGTTAACTTTCTTTCTTTCCTGTTTAATATATTTAAGCCGATTTCCGTTTCGTCCTCTGCTAAAGATAAATGAACTCCCGAAAAATTAGAAACGGAGAAGCCATTGAAATTAATTTTTCACCAGAAGTAAAATAAACATTTCAGGAGACCAGACTAATTGTATCGCGAAAAAGAAAAAACGGACGAGCGTATTAAAATAACTTAGGAAAAGGGAGATAAGTGCCGGTCGATATTGTCACACCGGAAATTAAGAAAGAAGTCAATAACGAAAAGATAGCAGCTGATTATTAAATACCAATGAACGCTATGGAAATACTTTTGGAATGATTTTCAAGAGTATTAAGTAGATATAAAATTGTAACAAATAAGAAGATTAATTAAAAACAATTAGAATAAATTTGTCAAATTTAAAATTCGATATTAAAAATGTGAAAATGTATACACTACCGGCCAAAACTTTGGAATCACCGAGCATATCGCAATTTACACAAAAATCTCCAGAAAAAAGTCAGCGACTTTGAGAATTTTTTATCGTTCGAATCAATTGGTATGAGATAAATGAAGATGAACTTGAAATCTATCAAAAATTAGCAGCAGATTTAATATTGATGAAAAGTGAGAGGTGATTCGAAACTTTTGGCCGGTAATGTAGATGGTATATTTTCAGAAATGAAACACTGATTCGAGTCTCGCAGAAATAGTTGAAAAAATTCACACAAGTAATTCGAGAAAATGAACTCGATAAAATCTGTAACCGAATGTAACAAAAAGAAGCATTTCACATTGAACTTAATCGATCTTTCATAGAAGTACTTGGATAAAATAGAGGGGAGTTGAAAATGAACCTGTTTGTTCCGCTGTTAGATCATAGAACAGAAGTATCTGGCTCCTTTCACTGTTGTTCTCTCTGTATGACCCGTATCGTGTAATAATATGTAACAAGAACGAAGAGGAATTGTGTACATCGAGTTCACCTAATTTTATGCAATTGTTCCAGACGTTGGACTTCGACAGAGATGGCCTCACGAAACTGAAGAAAGCCATCAAAGCCATCCATAATTCTGGAAATGGTGAGTGTTGTTTGCTTGAAAATTTTCATCGGCAATTTCCAAAACCTTGAACTTTCAGAAAATAAAAAACAATCGATTTTTGGAAAAATCTAACCTAAAACACCTCCGTAAATTGTAATTGTACATATTATCGCGTTATTCTGTTCCTCTATGCAGACATTTCTATCCACACGCGACTGATAGTAATTTTTCAACGAAAACTCGTTGTAATTTTCTTTTTTTAATTTCAAAATTTCTGGCGAGTATTGTTTGTAATATTTTTTACTTTCCTTGTATTTTAGCTCACGTTGATAACGAGGTGTACCTAGGAAGAGCACTGGAAAGGCTCGGAGATGCCGCTTTGAAAGAACAGGAGCCAGATATCGGCGCTGCTTTCTTAAAGTTTGCAGTGGTCACGAAAGAATTAAGCGCTCTAATGAAAACTCTAGTATGTACCGAACGTTTTATGGTCCCGTTTGAAAAAATTTGTTCATTTTTGAAACCAACCTACTATCATAAATAATAGCTGTTTCGTGCAATAGACAGTGAGCGCTTTTTGTCTCGAGCGTGCCTTAACCCTTTCGCTCCGAAGGGCGTATATATACGCCCTCGAAGAATGAACATTCATATACGAAGAGCGTATATATACGCTCTCGAAAAGTGGGCGCTCAGGTACGAAGAGCGTACATATACGTTCATACCATATATACTTTTCTTTCTTTTTTGTTTTTGCGACAAAATTATCGTTTGCCAAATTTCATTTAAATCTTATAAGACAGATATTGGAAACATGTGGGAAACAAAAATCAGATATGAAATGTACCTCAGTGTCGGCTAGTCAGTAATGCGCTCCGTTCGTAGCGATCATATTTTGTCACAAGCGCGCCGTAGCGAAAAGGTTAACGAAAGGGTTAAAGGAACAACTGTTTTGGTAGCAAAAATTCATACTATTTCAAAACCTTTTCAGTTGCAGTTCAGTAAACTCTTTTCCTAACATTCTATTCTATAATTATGTAGTACAAACGGATTTTAAAAAATCGTCAAATTTATCGAAAGAACCACCCTCGAAAGGGATTGAACTTTCACTGGAAACAATTATTTTCATCTGACATTCTGTACTATACATAAGTCTACTAATTGTGCAGCATAAACGAATTTAAAGAACCGGCAAATTTATCAAAAGAATCACCAAAAGAAAGGAATAAAGAGAAAATAAAAAAAATGATTTTCAACGCTCTATAAGACAAGATCACCTCTCTTTTCCCCGAATCGTCGGTATCGTCCCGTTTAATTAATCAGAATTGTCTGATAGATGCAGAACATCAACAACATCGTGATGTTCCCGCTGGATTCGGTACTGAAGGGAGATCTTCGAGGTGTGAAAGGTGACTTGAAGAGGCCGTTCGAGAAGGCGTGGAAGGATTACGAAGCTAAATATGCGAAAATCGAGAAGGAGAAGAAACAACACGCGAAAGAGGCTGGCCTCATTCGAACGGAAGTAACGCCGGCCGAGATCGCCGACGAGATGGAGAAGGAGAGAAGATTGTTTCAATTACAAATGTGCGAGGTGAGGCCCTCGAAACAAATCTAGAACGAGCCAGGCTCTTCCTCTCTCTCCTCTCTCTCTTTCTCATTCGCTCTGTGTACTCCGCTATACTTTTTACGCAATCATTGCTGCTGTAATTTACGACACTTTTACGAGATGAATTCTGACACCTGTTCGTAACTGGCGCATATCAAACGTGTTCCTTTTCTTTTTCACCATTTCAAGGTGCAATTTGTTTGAGTATTCGAGGTACAATATCAAATGATGATATTTGTCATTTTTCTTTTGCAAGTTTAATATTGTTTTCTTTTTTTCAAATTTAATCATTGAGTGTTTAGTTGCAATTTTGAATTTTTTGAACATTGTAAATTATTGTAAATTGTTATTCTTCGGTTGCGTAAGTCGTTCCATTACGTCACACAGAGTGTCTCAAGTTTTTTCAGTCAATCTGTGCCAGTATGTTTCACAAGTAACAATAGGAAGAAAATGTTACATAATCTGGTAGGGTCGTGGGTGGTTGATTAAAATGTTGAATGAAGAGTACGAAATAATTATAGATTGGTGTAGCATGGGAACAGATTGGTATTTATCTGATGTGTTTAGAGAAACTAATTGGACCTTGTTTCATTCCGAAATTATTAACCGTACGGCATCTTAGATTCTTTCTGAATACTACATTCGAAACTAGTGGAAAAAGTGGCATTGTTAGTTTAAATAATAGAGTTTGCATTTTAAGAAATTTTCCGAAAGATTGAAAGAGAGTGGTGATTATATGAAACGATGTGTTTTGTTTCGTTTGCAGTATCTTATAAAGGTGAACGAAATAAAAACGAAAAAAGGAATTGAACTGCTTCAGCATCTAGTCGAGTATTATCATGCACAAACCAAGTAAGTTTGATATTTCACATTCCTTTCTATTTTTTCCATTTTTTAACCATGAACGGGATCAGAAGAAATATTTTCATAAATTTTACAAAGTATACGTAAATTAAGCGAAATTTGATCAAAATACATAATTTTCTACCAAAAGAATTTGTTCACTTTCACGTCGATTCTACAGTTATTTTCAAGACGGCCTAAAGACCATCGAACACTTTGGCTCGTACGTGGCAGATCTCAGTGTGAAGTTACAGAAGATCAGGCAAACGCAAGACGAGGAGAGAAGACGTTTAACAGAACTAAGGAATCTTCTTAGAAGCTCTGGTTGTGACAAAGAGGTAAGTTAACCATCGTATTCTCACGCGCTGTTCTCCTTTATCCCAACGTGCGATCGCAGAAAATTAAAGAGTGTGAAATTTTCCAGTTAAATGTGAACGCGAATGCAGGGTATTCGCTTCACCAGCTTCAAGGAGATAAGCAACACGGCGTCACTAGATCCGGCCATCTTTTGAAGAAAAGCGAAGGAAAAATGAGGAGAGTTTGGCAAAAAAGGCGGTGCGCGGTTCAAGCAGAGGGTTATCTCGATATCTGTCATGCGGATGAAAATAAACCGCCGACGAGAGTGAATTTATTAACCTGCCAGATCAAGCTAGTGCCGGACGACAAACGGGGCTTTGATCTTATTAGCTGTAAGTTGGATTGTTAACCTATTTACAGCTGGTAGTGGGTGACAAGCAGAATGTATCCCTTCATTTTCATATCAACCATTAGAACAAAGCTTGTACGGTGTGAAAATTATACCAATGGAAATTAATCGAAAGCCGGAAGACTAACGGAATAAAATTTGCACTCTCAATTACAGACAACAGAACGTATCACTTTCAAGCGGAAGACGAAGCAGATCAGCGTGCGTGGATGTCTGTTTTGGTAAACTGCAAGGAGCGTGCTTTGCTTCGAGCATTCGACGCTAGCGGCAAAGCGGAGGCTGGCACAGGAAATCCGAGTTTAGTTGAACTTCAACAGGCTGTAATACGATGTGTGATGAGGTTACCTGGAAATGATCAATGCTGTGACTGCTCCTCGCAAAATGGTAAATCTGAGGACATGTTTCGAGAGCCAAACGTTAGTACTGTTGGGTGTTTATCTCCTTCTTTTCTCTCGTGCCGAACGTTTCACTCGAACGCAATTGTACTGTCAGTACTACCTCGGAATATCGGAACAAATGTCATTCAAATACCATTTTTATAGTATACCGATGACGGCGTTAAAGAAGCTAACTGTTTTCTCATTATTTCACAGATGCCACGTGGCTCTCCACAAACTTCGGCATAATCGTGTGCATAGAATGTAGCGGAATTCATCGGGATTTAGGAGTTCATATATCCAGAATACAATCTCTCACGCTGGATAATGTGGGCACTGCTCAGCTACTTCTTGCACGACACATGACCAATCAGGTGTTTAACGAAGTGATGGAAGCCACCTTACACCATAATCACAAACCAACACCAACATCGACGATGTAAACAGAATTATTCGTTTATTTATTCGTTTGTTCAACTTGTAATAGCCAATTTCTGTTTCATTTTTACTGTATCACACAGGGAAGAGAGGTACGACTTTATAAGGGCTAAATACGTGGACAAAAGATACGTGATGAATACCTGCGCGGATGAACGAGATCTTCTCTCTGATTTGGAGCATGCAGTGAATAATCGCGACTTGCAACAACTTCTGCAAGTTTACGCCGAAAATGTAGATCTATCTGCACCGTTGCCCACCTCGGTACGATTTTTATAAGTATTTATAAGAATGATAATTGTGAATAGTTGTGAAAACATATTTTAATAAAATTAATAAATAACTCGTTATTTCATGTGGCAGTTCTTATTGATCCACCTTGTACAATTTAAAAGTATATCAATTGATTGGTAACGTTCATTTCTTTCAGGATGTCGGCGAAACAGCTTTACATTTAGCCGTTTTACGTGAAATGGGAAACAGCTTGCACATTATAGATTTTCTCGTGCAGAACATGTCGACAGGTGGCATAGACAGAACTACCATCGACGGAGAAACAGCGTTGCATCTCTGCGCGAGGCATGATAGAGCAGAGGCGATGAAGTTGTTGCTACGAGCAGGCGCCGACCCAACCCACCGAAATAAGCAAGATAAAACTCCACTCGATATTGCACAGGAAATGGGGCACCATACTTGTAAAGAACTGGTAAAAGCCATTATTCCATTGACATCTAATTTGTATAACAATACCATGTCGTACACACAATGACAATGAAATGTTTCATTGTCCTTAGCTGAGTCACGCTCTACAAAGACAAAAGACATTGTTCGATAATGTTAATATCGATTGGAATCTCTCACACGACGAAGGATCTACCGATTTCTCGGATGACGAAACAATAATAGAAGACAGAGTATGTTTTTTTTTTTCAAGTAACGATGAAAATGAAAAATTTTTCATTTAACGAACATTCATCTTATTGTTTTACCCATGTTGTTTTTCTCCTTAGAATGGGTGTTTAACACCTGAAAAGAAAACTCGCAGTCGGCCACCTTCTTATGTGGGTGGCAGCGGTGGCAGTGGTGGTGGTGGTGTTGCTGGATCAGGAGATTCGCCGGTAACATTACGCAGTCGAAGTAGTACCTGTGACAGCTTGCAGAGCGGCTCTTCTCCAAGTTCTTCGACGAATAGGCAACAAATGCCTCCACCACCGCCACCTCAATCAAGGAAACCTGTTGCTGGTATGATTACTTTTAAATTATTGCAGCAGAAAAAGATGTAACAAAAAGATGAATAAAATCACTTGAAGTGTAAAAGAACCTAAACCGTGTTGTCTCGTGAGACTTTTTTTCATTTGTAATCGTACCGTAGCTGTCGTTTAGTTACCTCGAGTAACTGCCTGTATGTTAAATTACATTTACACCTGCACGAAAATGATGCATTAAAATTCTGTTGTCGTTTTCAGTACCAGCTCCCATGGCGCCCGATATTTCAGTCAATATTCACGGATCGTTGAAGAAGCGCGTAGCACCGCCACCACCACCATCCGGAAGTACAGGTGGTATACCCTCCTCTCATTACGGTACACTACCTTCGTCCGCGTCCTTAGCAGCGTCAACGCATAGCCGTACAACGAGCGAACCGATCTTAGCTGGGCATTCTTTACATACTCTACCACATGCGTTAAATACATTAAACAGTCAGCATCATAAAAGATCGCCCAGTGGAGATTCTTCAACGGGACACGGTGCGTTTAAAAATTCAGAAAAAGTCTTCTACAAACTGCCGCCTGGTTTTGGTAAATTTCGATTCGTTCAATATTTGTTTCGTTCTTGAAATTTATTCTCTCTTCTGTTTCTTGTGTTTCATTAGGTGCTGACAAAATAAACAGCTCGACACTCCAAAGACCACGGAATCCGCCGCCACCAGCCCCATCTGGTATTAATTCGTCGAGATTGAGCAACGGTCGTAGCAGCGAATCATTGAGTTCTATGTGTTCGGATCACGGTTTGGGTAATCCAGTTCCACCTCCACGCAAGGTAATTTGTACGTTCTTTTATTTAATTTTTTTTTATTTAATTATGTTTTAGCATTTATATATGAAGCAGCGCATAAGAGAAGC